GGATGGATGGATGGATGGATGGATGGATAAGGACGAGTCCAAAACCTTCAGCTTGAGTTTCTTGAAGTTGTTCATGCTCAATTTTTGAGTCATTGCCCTCAGAAGCAGTTTTCTTGCCAAGTCGGTCTTCACATATGAGGAACTTGACTTTGTGCTCTAATGCATAACTGTGAACAATCTGCTTTAACATTTTTGCAGATGTAATCCAACCTCTTCTTTTTTCATGTAACATTTCCTGTGGTGTCAGCTGCACTTCAGCCCAAAATGAAAATATCTCCGGCCACATGGTGCCGTGGCTTCAAACTCTTGTTACTGTGGCCAGAAGCCTGATTTGAACTTTGGTCTACAGAGCTCGATGCTGCCTTGCAGACTTCAGACAGCAGCTTTCATGATGATGTTATACACTTCATTCCCCACCACACACGCAGACCCTGTTTGTGCACCAACTCTGCACAGCTTACACACCACAAAATATAAATCGGCTTCATGAATCCTTCCTGCACCAACTTAAAAGACGACTGTTGTTTACGTAACGCTTTCAAGAGCCGGTGCCAAGACTTTGCCACGATTGAGTAACTGAACCCACAGGCCGGAACAAAGATGAACGGTCATAATTATGCAGCTTTGACACGATCGCCAGCACATTCTTCACTTTCCACTTAATTTACAGTAGAAATACACCATTAGCAACATATTTCTGTAGAGATTAAAGTGATGTTTGTGCTTTTTCAGAGCACAGGTGAGGGTTTTGGGCAATTACCTTTTACACATTTCATCTGACATCTGTGCTGATGTGTCTTTATCAGTTTCCTGGAGGCGTGACCTGCCTGGCAATCTGTCAGATTTGCCCAACAGGCCACGCCTCCTGCCGCCCAGTGGTCTCTGCAGGAGAGCGTCCCATGTGGGGGACAGCATGAATGCCCCCTCAAGGCGTCTTTGGCTCGCCTCCTTGATCCAGCGTTGGAATTTGTTGCTCTCCGATGCGATGATCTTGTCCCAGTCCGTGATGTGCTTGTTTCTTTTGCAGTGGTCTGATATGGCTGCTGCTTTTTTTTTTTTTTTGGGATCTTGTGAGTCATCCTGATTGCAGAGACCACCGGGCAGCAGGAGGCGTGGCCCCGTTGGACAAATCGGACAGATTGCCAGGCAGGTCACGCCTCCAGAAAACCAGGTGAGGTTTCTGAGGAAGACTGAAGTGGCAGTCGAAACATGTCAAAGGAAAAAAACAGCTCCTACCGAAAAAACACTCATTGTCTGATAAAAAAAGAAGAAACCTTATTGCTATAATGACAGTAGACAAAATGAACCTAATCACGCTAATATCTGCTAATGATAGCAGGTATTGTTTCAGCATGTCTACCTTATAAAACCTCTTCTTTAGGTTTGGTTACGTACTGTTGTCTACTTCTGTGTGAGGCTCCCCGAGGCTCATTGGAACTCTGTAGCCGCTGGGATCTTCTGACTGGAGCAGCTCCACGAGCTCGTCTCTGGAGAGTTCTGGCGGAGGCGGGACTGAGTTGGACTGACAGATGTTGATGAAGACCTTCTGCTTGTCCGGTTCTGAGGACGTCTTCACACACATGCCTGGGAGAGGACGAAGAGAAAGGAAGATGAAAACATACAATCAGAAAGGAAAACAAAAAACGAAAGAGGAAAAATATGACATATACAGTAAAAAAAAAAGCTCACCGGGTTGTGGTCGGATGACTTTGGAATCTGGATTTTCAGCCTGCATCTGTCCCATCGTCTGAACAGAGAAGCAGCAGATTGTTCTTGTTGTTTAATGGTTTGTGGACCCACAGAAAGTGGAACTGAACCGGTAATGCATGTCTGACTGATGGAGCTTATCTGAAAGGAGCACTAACATCTCCCACCGGAACTCAGCAGAGGATAGAAAAGTCATGCATTAAGTCCTCTGGCTGCGTCTCCAACTGGCCAAATCCCAAGTACTTCATTACCACCGAATCAACAAATGATTAAAAATGCATAAAACACAAACACTGGACAAACTGGGGGCTTTTTACAGCACAGTTCTGAGAGCATGACACAGCTGCTGTGTTTACATGGAGGCTTGCTGAGACATTCTGCAGATCTTTTCACTCTCAGGACAATTTAACTATTTGTTTTAAAAAATAAAAAAAAACACTAAAAATTCTGGGTTTTTTTTGTTTTTTAGAAATGTGATGTTATTACAATATCTCCTGCAAAAACAAAAAAAAAAACTAAAACAGGTGTCCCTGTTAAAGGAATAGTTACACATTTTGCTTACCAAAAATCAGACAAGAAGACTCGATATTATCCTGAAGCTACCAAGAGCAGGCAGTTAGCTTAGCTTAGCATAATGATTGAAAGACGTGAGAACTGGTAACCTGGCTCCATCTACAGCCGAAAGACTCAGCAGACGAACGCCTCTCATATATAAGAGGTGTTTCCAATCATGTCAGAATGTCCATTTTACATACAAAAAGTTCATTTTATTGTAATGGAGGGCCAGTAGCTTATAGTTAGGAACATTTTCTAAGACAACGCTGCTCGATTCCTCTTTGCTCCTGTTATACTGTGGTTAACCATTTAACACCCTGGAATTGTCCCTTGTGGCCACAGTGACCGCAGCTACACAGAAGCTACACGGTCTCACAGTTAACACAAAGCAAAGCTACCTGTAGGAGCAGCTGCTGGTACAGCTCCTCTTGTTGCTGTAACTCCAGCTCCGAGTTGAGAAGTGAGGAGTCTGACATCATGGCTGCCACAACGAACCCTGCAACCGAATGAGAAACAGAACAATAAATACTTATTTTTGATAACAAAAAAAACAAACTCAACCTAATTGCTGAACACTGTGAAACATAAAATA